AGTCTGCCTTTCTTTCTCGATGCTCCAACCTCCTAGAAAATCTCCCTTCTGTGAAATACACATACAAGTATGATTCTCACATAACGACAGTCTAGTTGGAGAATATCACAGATGGCAAAGGGCATGAACAGACGGCTCCAGAAAATGAACTGCAAACGGCTTATACAAATGAAAACAGGTTCACCCTTGCTCAAGTCAAAAAACGCAAATTGAACTTCCAACGATCAGCTCAGCCAAGATCAAAGAGCATGACAGAGCTGGGTGTTGGCAAGGGCCCCAGAAATCTGGCACTTACTGCTGGTGGGAACGGGAAGTGATGTAACTCAATGGTGTCTCGCATAGGGCCACGTGGCAAGATGCTTCACGCACGTACCCAACTAGGGAAAAACATCCATGTCGTGGAAAAGAACAGAAACAGGCAATGCATGAAGAAATATAAGTGACCAATCGATGTGAAAAGTGTGTTCACATCCACACAATGGAATATTACTCCGCCATAAAGAGAAAGGAGATCCTGATACATGCTATGACATGGACGAACCTTGAAAACATCATGCGGAGTGAAATCAATCAGACACCAAAGGTCATGTATTTTATGACCACACATATATGAAACATCTAGAATAGGCAAATCCATACAGACAGAAAGTACAGATTTCCAGGGGCTGGGGGAAGAGAAGAATGGGGAGTTATTGCTTAAGGGGTGCCTTAGTTATCTAGTGCTGCTATAACAGAAATACCACAAACAGGTGGCTTTAACACACAGCAATCGATTTCCTCACGGTTTGGGAGGCCAGAAGTTCGAATTCAGGGCTCCGGCTCTAGGGGAAGGCTTTCTCCGTCAGTGCTGGGGGAAGGTCCTTGTTCCTCGGTTCCCTGGTGATCTTCATGAGGTGCGGCATCTCTCTTCCCTATCTCTGCGTGTTTCTCTGTGCCTAATCTGCTCTTTTTCTATCTCAAAGGTGATTGCCTTAAAACCCACCCTACGCTGATACGGCCTCATTAACATAAGGGAGGAAACCTGTTCCCAGGTGTGATGATAACCACAGGTCCAGGGATTAGGATTTACGACATATATTTAGGGGGACATAATTCAATCCATAACAAGGGGTATTGAGTTTCTGTTTGGGGTAATGAAAAAGTTTTGAAAATAGACAGTGGCTATGGGTTGTACAACACTGTTAATGTAATTAATGTCACTGAATTGTACACTTAAAGATGATTAAGCTAACAAATTTTGTTATATATTTTACCAAAATAAAATTTTAAAAAGTTCACTATCACAAGAATCAAAAGCCAATTAAAACTGGATGCCCCCTCCTTCCCTCCTTCCCTCCTTCCCTCCTTCCCTCCTTCCCTCCTTCCTTCCTTCCTTCTTTCCTTCCTTCCTTCCTTCCCTCCTTCCCTCTCTCCTCTCCCTTTGCCCCCCTCCTAGTCGTCGAAGTTTAAAATCAAATTCCATCTAGTGTTAACCAATAACTATCAAGTCGACTCTGGCTAATGGTGACCTCACGTTGTGTCAGGGTAGACTGTGCTCCATAAGGTTTTCAATGGCTGAGTTTTCAAAATTAGATCGACAGGACTTTCTTCTGAGGCACTTGTGGGTGGACTTGAACCGCCAACCTTTCCATAAGCAGCCTCACATTAACCATTTGCAGCATCCAGGGACTCCGCGTCGGTAAGGAGCAATGAAGGAGGCCCTCCAATACCGGCCTGTGAGCGAAAATTCCCACTTTTTAGAAGGGCAGTTTAGACATCTGCTTCGAGTGCCGTAAGCACGTTCAACTAACATCAATGCATAAAAAGGCTCATGAATAAGAATGTCCATTGCAGCACTACTTATAACTGTGAAAAATGGAAATAGTCAATGATGCTAATTATATAATGTTTTTTAAAGATTTTTTAAAACCTTAGAGTATATCATGCTCCTCAAGACCGAGCACAATTCAAATCCTGCGTGACTCAAGACGTTCCCTTAGGAGTAGCTGTAGGACAGGACGTCATCGCCATGCCCATAAATCCACGCCTTCAGGAACGTGTGTCGGCTCTGGGCTTGCTTAGCCTCCTCTGGAGTCTGGAGGCCTGTTGTCTCCTATGTGAACTGCAGACATCTCATGGCAGCTGTTTGCACTTCTTCAAACCAAACCAAAACCAAACCCGTTGCCATCAAGTCGATTCTGGCTCATAGAGACCCTAGAGGATGGAGAACTGCCCCATAGAGTTTCCAAGGAGCGCCTGGTGGATTCGAACTGACGACTTTTTTTTTTTTTGGTTAGCAGCCGTAGAACTTAACCACTATGCCACTGGCATTTTATTTCCCCCTAGGAACCCTGGTGGCGCAGTGGTTAAGAGCTCAGGCTGCTAACCAAAAGGTTGGCAGTTCGAATCCACCAGCCACTCCTTGGAAACCCTATGGGGCACACAACAACAACAAAGGTCCTCAGGTGGCACAAATGGTTTGCACTCAACTGCTAGCCTGAATGAGGGCTGGCAGTTCGAACTCACCCAGCGGCACCATGGAAGAAAGGCCTGGTGATGCTTCCATAAAGATTACAGCCAAGAAAACCCTATGGAGCAGTTCTACTCGAACACATGGGGCTTCCATGAGTCAGAGTCAACTTGATGGCACCTAACAACAACAAACACATTCTAAGCGAGCAGTGGTGGCTCAGAGGTAGAATTCTCTCCTTCCACGAAGGAGACCCAAGTTCAATTCCCAGCCAGTGCACCTCATACACAGCCACCACCTGTCTATGTGAATTGCAGGCTTCCAGTGGAGGCTTGCATGTTGCTGTGATGCTGAACAGGTTTCAGCGGAGCTTCCAGACTAAGATGGACTAGGAAGAAAGGCCTGGTGATCTGCTTCTGAAAATCAGGCAATGAAAAAAACCCTATGGATCACAACGGTCCTATCTGCAATCGATCATAGCAATGGCACAGGACTGGCAGCGTTCTGCTCCAGTGTGCATGGGGTCACCATGAGTCGGGGCACGACTCCATGCAGCTGACAAGAGCAAACTGCATTCTCAGTCTGGTTTGGGGCATGGTTTTTGGCACTAGAGGAGTATTTGATGGCATTGTCATAGGCTTTAATGAACATTTTGTTACTGTAACAGCACAACCGTCACCAAACCTCTCGCCCATCTTGCAGGGCAGAGGGCTGGGCTGTGAGGTGGTGTAGGGAGGGGCTCTGGGAAGCTGAGGGGGCAAAGCATCCCCTAGGGCTTTTCCCATCCCAAGGGCCAAATCTATTCTGCCTCTCTGCAAGTCTGGAATCGACCCTTCCGACCCATAAAATCAGAGGTGCCTTACTAGGTCATTCACACTGAGCACAGACAAGGGGGTGGTGGTGGTAATCATGTCATAGAAACTGCAGAAATGCCCAGAAGGTCTTAAGCAAGACTGAGGTGGCATGTGGAAACGTACTGAGTAAATACTCTCTCATTTTGAACCACATAATACAGTTGGTATTCTCTTAATCAGGAGTCCTTGGGTAGCACAAATAGTTAAGTGCTTGGCTACTAACAAAGAGGTTGGCAGTTTGAATCCACCCAGAGGTGTCTTGGAAGAAAGGTCTGGCAATGTGCTGAGAGGTCACATCCATTGAAGACCCTATGGAACAGTTCTACTCTGAAACACATGGGGTCACCATGAGTCATAATCAAACTGGATAGCAACTGATTATTCTCTTATCATTTAATGGGTGTAAAAATATTCGTAAGGAACTCTCCAGGACCCACAGCCTGGGTCCTGCTTTTCTGTACACTGTGTAGGGGAAGGCTGTGGAGAAGGAAATGCCAGAAACACCGCTCTCAGAATTCAGCAAATTCAAACAAAAAACCAAACCCCTTGCAGTCAAGTTGATTCCAACTCATAGATCCTAGAGGACAGGGTAGAACTGCCCCATAGGGTTTCCAAGGAGCTAACGTTTTTCGTTAACAGCCGAGTTCTTAACTACTGTGCCACCAGGGCCCACCAGCCTCGGACCTTGGGCCCTGGCCAGGGGAACTGGGGTGGACCAGCATAATGAGGTGGTGGAACCCAACTTGGTCTGTTTCTGGAGGCTCTGACTTAAGTTTTCTTCCCCCTCCCCGAGGACCCCGGTCGACCAGCTCTCTCTTCAGGTCACGATCCTGCCCCCTCCATGTTGTTGCTTCAGCCAATTTTGTGGCATACTGTCTGTACACATCCATTACCATGTTGTGTTGTATGTCTGTTTTTTGTGTGTGTCCGTGTCTGCATCGTGTGTGTGCTGAGCAGAGGGCCATAATGCAGGCAGCGGGAGGGAGAAGTGTATTTACATGCTACATTTTCAGGTTATTAACCCAGATGAATGGGCACTGGAGGAGGAAATGCTTTGTTGTTGGGGTTCCTTGCGGAGAGGTCCTTTTGCTGCCCATTACCAACCTGGCTCTCTTTTCTGATGGATGTGTGCATGCCCAACCTCTAACCAGTGGGTTCTTTGGAAGCCCGGCGCCATTTGGCTAAGACTCCCAGGCTCAGCAGTTCTTTGACCACGTCAGGCAGGTCTCTGCCGGCTCAAACTTCATTCTCTATCCCCAAGAACACATCTGAACACCCTCTGTCAACCTCCACCTTTGTTAACGTCTTTCAGTGGCAGTCTGATTTGTACACAATGCATACAAGTTCTTGCCATCGACCTCTGGGTACATTTCCATCCGTGTGAATGGTTCGTTAGCACCTCAGAATATTCCATGCACAGCAGGCCTCTCTCAGCTTTGCTTCTAGGATACCTGCCTCTAGGTCTCTGTTTGGCACTTGCCCCTCCCTTAGTCCCCCCAGGAGAGCCTCTGGCGGCAGAGATGGAGAACCCGAGGTGCAGGGTGCTGAAAGCACTCCCCCCACCCACACACACACAAGCTTACCTTGCTAGCAGGTGGTAGCTGAAATTGAATCCAGACCGACGTCCAAAGCTACCTGCTATTTTCTGAGCCCTTATTATGGGTTAGGTTATTGCTTCATGTGGGTTATCTCCTCTAAGTCTACAGCACTGCCCCCCAGATCCTTCTCAGTTCAAAATGGGTGGTGGTGGAGTCAGCCGTTGGACGTCATGGGCTTGTCTTGGGGGTGCTGCCAAGTTGAAGCATTGCCCTCAAATCTACCAAAGTCCTGAAATGCAGGCATTTAATCACAGATAGGCTTCTGAGTTTATTTTCAGTTATTTTTATAATCCTCAGCAGCTGGGTTTCTAAAGGGAATCAGCAGCGAAGCCCTGGAGCCGGCTCGGCCTCTGACAAGGAAGACAGGAGACTCAACAAGTGCAGGGGAGCACAGGCCCCCAGGAGCCAGGCACCAGGCCTTGGCTGCAGGTAGAAAGCAAGGCCTCAAACTGGCCAGAGCCTCAGGGCGTGCTTTCCAGGGCAGGCGGAGTTTCTGACAAATGCTGACGTTTTACAGTGCAAACAGAGTAGATGCTGCTAACTAAGCCAGCTGGGTCACACAGCATGTCCCCGCATGCTCTCCCTCCACAGCCCGACCCCTCAGGGAAGACAGACAAAATCTCCATGGCAAAGGTTTCGAAATTAGGTTGCTGTTCTCTCCCAATTCACAGCACAGAAATGGGCTAAGATGCAGGTACAATACCAAAACATTGTTACAAAGAGTACAAATGAGAAAGGCGCTCACGAAATACATCCATTCTGGCTTTGTTCTCAGACCGACATACTCCGAAGTGAACACCACTGTGGACTGTGGCAATTCCTAAAAAGGAATAAACTAAAAATCCGGAAGCCATCGAGCCGATTCTGACCGAGGCCACCCCACGTGGGTCAGAGGAGCACTGTCGCCACAGGGTTTCCAATGGATGATTTTTTGGAAGCAGACCACCAGGCCTCTCTTCCGAGGCCCCTCTGGGTAGACTCAGGCTCTTGGTTAGCACCTGAGCATGCTACCTGTTTGAACCGCCAGGGAGTCCTAAAAGGAATACATGTACCATATTTTTAGCACCATTTAAGTGAAACTAGATCAAGGTAGTTTTCAATTATCACAATGAAGGCCCCTAAAATTAAGTACAAAAAATTATTTGGAAGTTCAGAATTAAGGTCAACCCTTCCCCACCCCCATTTCCCAGGAAGGCAAATTCTAAGACTGTGGCTATTTCAAGCCCTTGTCCCTTCCCGTTCCTCCTTGTGTTACTCATGTTTCGGCAACTTCAGTCCTCATCCAAATTTACACCCAAGAAATCAATATGGTTAACTGAGATAAAACTCCAGTCAATGTTTTCCTCCATCAATAGCTCCCTCTGGCTATTAATGAGCGTTTAATGTTGACATACGCAGGTGGTCCTAAGGTCTGGTAACAGACACACACGTGATAAATGGTTTATTGATGTTACATTTCAGTACAATTAATGTTTTCAGACTCAATGGCCACCCTGTATATTTTATTTATATATACTATCCCATTCCACCATTCCCAGTAATAAATTTCAATTCATCATGAAAAAATACAACCAAATGGGACAGCGCGCCTCCATCCCAGGATGTTGCTGGGCCGTGGGCACATTGAGGAAGTTATGAAGTGTCTGCAGAAAAGCACGGGGACATTCACATGTGAGCACACATGCAGGCACACACACATGCAGGCACACACACGCGGGCACACACACACGGGCACACATACAGCCCACAGTCCCTAGTCACGGCCATGCACACCTCACCCTTAGCGCTCCTGGCTTCCAGGAAAAGGCCAAGGTGGCAGGCAGCTGAACCCGTTTTGTTTTTTTCATGACTCCAAGTTAGAAGCTGAATGAGGCAAACATTAATAATCAGCTTTCTGTCTCTACTCCAACATTCACTAAACTACCGCACAACTCAGCCAGCTGATTCCCTGCTCTCTCCACCGGAGAAGGGATCACGAATGAGGTTTTCCGAACAGTTCAGCATTAAATATCATTCTGTTAAAGAGAGGACGGAACTGTAGAAATATGAATTTGCAGAATACACACGATAAGATGTTCATTCCTTTATAACCTGAAGCACCGACGTCTGTTGGACATCTGTTATTTGGTTTTCCAGTGGCGTTTTTAACTTAGATCTAACGTCAGTTCCTTCTTCCTCTGTTCACCACTTCTTACAGTTCTGGATTATTTTTAAATTACTTGGTGTTGTGCCCAGCCTTAGCTAAACTATTTGGGGATTCATACATTTCACACACATTTCAGATTCATTTCACACACACAAGTATTTTTTATGTAGCCACAGATCTTAAATAAAGAAGAGTCCCCAGTGGTTTCTCTTCTGAAAATACTTTCTGGCTTTCAAAAGGGAGTACCTGCAAAGTATTTCTTAAGAAAAAGACAGAGGGAAAGGATCAAACCTTATTTTACATCCAAAGAAGATACAACCAGGAAGTCTCAGTAAGTCCTAGGGAGAAGCTGAGGTGGTAGGCGGAGCGTCAGAGGCCATGGAGCACTTCAGTCATACCTGGAAAATCTTCACACAGTGGACTAACTCAATGTAAAATTAGCACCTTGTGGGTTGTGGGGAGGAGGGGGGCACAAAACACAGAGCCCTTAAAAAAAAAACCAAGACCACCCACATAAAAAAAACTCACAATGTCATTTCTTCCAACAGAGGTGTTAAATTCACGTGGCCGAGATTTTACCTGATAAGCTCTAAAACTGGAGGGAAAAGAACAATGAAAGGATACAAAGGCACTGTCTGTTTTCCTTAATTAAAAGAAAAATTTTATCATTAACTGAATATATAATAGTGGAATAAAAGTGTCAATGGCTGTATAAAGAAAATAAGGTTAATCCTGTGCATTTAAAACGTTTTGACATAAGCATATTTGAAGGCAGAGGAACTGCAAACATTCCAGATCAAATTCCCAGATCCAAAGTTAAAGGCCACAGGCCAGCTTCTTGTTCTCCAATGCCGCCCTAGTTCCCTGTGCGTGAGGGGAAGCGATGGACAGTGTGCATGCTTCTGAAGTAGCGAACAGGTGAGGAGGGGAACAGAAAACGTTCTGAAGGAGCAATGTTCATTCAATGGGACATGTTACAGGAATTCTTTCAGGTTAAAATGCACCTTCAGGTGAGCTCAAAGGTAAGTCATGCCTCCTTAAGGAGTACACTACCCTTTCGGCCAGTACCTCAGGGTCTACCACCTCTGAGCTCTGCAGGGACCACCGGGATGGAAAGTAAGCACTGTGTATTCTGACCACCTTCCCTTCTAGAACACCTCATCACTCCAGAGAGCTCTCTAAGTGAATTATCCTCCGCAATCTACTCTGTTCTCAATTTAATGTCTATTCTGATGATGTTACCCCACCAGCTCAAGACCAGGAATGAGAAAGGGGATTAAGACTCTGGACAAATGAAGTTGCATATTCCAAAAAAGAAATGTTATTTTTAAAGTTGGCCAATCACTTGTATTTCCTGCAATTCTATTTCCTTGAAACTTTGCTCCTCTCATCCTGTAACCCCTCTAAGCCTGAACAACGGTCGGAGAGCAGAGTCTGACAAGGCCTGGGGACAGAAAGTTAATGTAAAATAAATGTACCCTTTTGGGTTTTTGTCAATGTGGAGGGTAAGACCACAATTTCTGTACACATTCTAACAATTATCATACATAGGAACAAGAAAAAAGTATGAAATGTAAACAAGTTGCTCGGAAATCCAGTTCAACTTCAATAAGAATAGAAATTTTCAAAATTCAGAACTACGTGCTCCCGAGTATCATTAAAGTCCTACAGTGTCTGTGAGCTGGTGGCAAGACTCAATGTGCCTGAGGGACCCAAGTCCCTACAGCCTTTCCAACTTGAACGCCTCAAGTCGTGCTTCAAAAAAAGTTCATGACGCGGTAAGCATTTCCCGTCGTATAATTACGACCACTAAAATGACGCATCAAAGTCAACACGAATTCATCATTATTACTTTAATTTGGCTTCTAGGTACCTCCATACTCAAGGCACCATTGTATTTCACAGTGAAAAAAACAAGCCTCTTCAATGTCTTCACACACACTGTAGAGCAGACTTTACTCCCAACACTCTGGACAATAAACAGCTAGGAAAACGTGGTGACTAGTACTGACGAGGTAATGGGAAAAACTAAAGTAACAGTCTGCATAGTTTTGTGCATTCTCTGAGTTTTCTTAACTAAGAATTTCATTTTTAAGTAAAAGCAAAATCTACATTTTCAAAAACAGTCCCCCCCCTCACCTAAAAACAACAGATTAGATAGCTTATAAACTATACTAAATTGGACCAAATAAAGAGTTTAATTATTATAAAATACAGCTCGGGACATCAGGGATGCAGCACCTCCACAGACGCGGAGTCGATCCCGACGCCGCTGACGCAGTCCTGAGGGTGACGCGTCTGGCTCCTGGGAACCTATCCAGGACCCAGGCAACAATTCAGGCCCTCCTTCAGGCCCTGCTCTCATGCCCCCCACTGTCACCACCTCAGCTTGTGACTGTGGAGGCAAGCGTTCCTGGCCAGGGATGCAGCCTCCACAAGGATTCCCAAACCAAACCAAGGGCCTACAACATAGAACTGTTTCTGCATTCGTATTTAGCACGTGCTTCGGCTTATACTTACTCATGAAAAATTACAATTTGCTGCTACTCAGCCCTTGCCACCAGGTAAAGTTACGTGGATGTGGCAACAGAAGTGCCCTCAAAAGCAGAGCATGAAAAGGGCACAGAAGACCTGGCTCTAAGCTCATCCCACTGCTGAACTTGGTGACTGACTTAAATCTTTAGCCTTGGTTTCCTCCTCTAAAAAACCAGATGGCTATAAACGCCTTTCTGACTATAAAATTATGCATCTGTGGTTGTTGAGAATAATTAATAGTCTCTGACACCCAGCACCAAACCACAGTAGGTAAAGGGACATCAGGCACCAGTCATGTTCACGCAGAGCAAGACGCTCCACTTTCCACCGCCATGCCCTTCTGCGGCTCCTTCTCCAGCCGTCCTAAATGCCTTCAAATTACCCACTTTTGGACCCAGTTCTTAATCTTCTATGAGATGATCTGCTAAACACAGCCTTAGTTAGTACCAATCCATCGCTCTTCCCCCGACAGCAGGCAAAAGACGACACCAGAGGAAGGTGGTGACTGTGCCATTAGCACAGAACTACACCACTTAAGCAGAGCACATAGAAAGATCACTACAGAGGCCCATTACCACCTAAAAAAAAAATACTATCTTAAGAAAAAATTAAAAGCCAGTTACCATTAGAAGGAGTTTGATTTGAGACATAAAGAACACATTCCTCTCTAAAGCGAGTCTCCTCTGATACAAAAGCACTGTTTCATGGAGAAGCTGGTTTTCCCTTCCCACAGGTGTGCTCTGAAGGCCCCCACTGAGACAGGCTGCATCACAAGTGAGGGAAGAGACTCGGTGGATTCTTAGATTAAAAGACAGTCTTCAGAACATCCCAGTGCAGCTTGGCTCAAACAGGTGCATGAGGTCCCAGAAGTCATTCTAAAAGGAGGTGGAAGAGTTCTCATCGATCATTCTAAGAGACCCTGAAGCTGGAAGCCCAAGGCGAGGAAGTACCTGTGCGCCTCAGCCATGTCCACTGGCTGTCCAGGGGTGTGTGTGACCCTCACAGATACGTCTCCTCACACACTCTGACGGGGACGTTATAGTGCCGATCGTCCTCGGCAATCAGCGTCACCACCGGCCAGTCCTCTGGGGGGTCAGTGGGGTAGACCGTGATGAACTCCTCAGTGTTGTACTTGGAGAGTCGGTACACCTGGATGGTGTGACGGACAGCATAGGCAAGAAGGAACATCTCAACCTGTGGGGAGAAAGAGCAAACAGGTATTCTCAGGGGAACAAACCAAACCAGTTGCTGTGGAGTTAATTCCAACTGACGGTGACCCCAGGTGTGCCAGAGTAGAGCTGTGCTCCATAGGGTTTTCAACGGCTGATTTTTCAGTAGATCACCAGGCCTTTCTTCTGAGGCACCTCTGGGTGGACTAGAACCTCCAACCTTTCAGTTAGTAGCTGAGTGCTTAACTGTTTGCACTACCCAGGGACAACCTATTCTGAGGGAAGCCATGCTGAAAGTATGTAGCTTAACACTGTCCCCCATCCCAGTCATTGAGATAAAGCATAGTAATTGATGATCCATAAACGTTTTCCTTCCTTCTGTGCCCACCCCCAATTGTTTTCTATATGGTCATTATCAAAAAGCAGATAATCAAGAATGGGTTGTATCTCTGATAAAAAACATGTACCCAGAATATAAAAAGAACTCTTACAACTCAACAACAGACAAATAACCAGTTTAAAAAATGAGCAAGGGATTTGAATAGGTATTTCTCCAAAGATATACAAACACCACTAAGCACACGAAAAGATGCCCAACATCATTAGTCATCGTTGTTGTTAGGTGCTGCTGAGTCAATTCCAACTCAGAGCAACTCTACAGGACAGAGCAGAATGGCCCCAAAGGGTGTTCTTGGCTGTAATCTTTAAGTGAGCAGATTGCCAGGTATTTTCTCCTGCAGAGCCACTGGTGGGTTGGAACCACTGACCTCCTGGTTCGCAGCCGAGCACTTAACCACTGCACCACCAGGGCTCCTGAATTAGTCATTAAAGAAATGCAAATAAAAGCCATAATGAGACATCCCTTCAGAACCAACAGAATGACTATAATGACAAAGGCAGACAGTAACAGGGAGTGACTGCTTAACATGCAGAGGGTCTTCTTTCAGGGTGATTAGAATGTTCTGGAACTTCACAGAGGTAGTGATCACACAACACTGTGAAGGCACTAAATGCCACTGAACTGTATACTTTAAAAAGGTTAACACTATGTCATGGTGAATTTCATCTTAATAAAAAAAAAAGAGAGTAACAAGCGCTGGCAAGGATGTGGAGAAACGGAACTCTCGTACATTGCTGGTGGGGATGTAAAATGGTTCAGCTGCTGTGGAAAAGTTGGGCAGTTCCTTGAAATGTTAAGCAAAGAGTTATCATACTACCCAGCAATACAAGGGGATGTTACCTGGCAGTAAAAAGGAATGAAGTCCTGATCCACGCTACAGTAGGGATGAACCTCTAAAACATCATGCTAAGTGAAAGGAGTCAGTCACAGAAGACCCCATATTATATGATTCCATTCATATGAAATGTCCAGAATAGGCACATCTAGAGCCAGAAAGTGACGGCCTAGGGCCAAGGGGAAGGAGGGAGCGAGGAGTGACTGTTAAGAGGAACGAGGTTGCTGTTTGGGGTGATAAAATGGTCTAAAATTAGACGGTAGTGATGGTTGCACAACTCTGTGAATATACTAAAACCACTGACTCACACACTTTACAAGAATGAACTTTAGGTATGGTTTCTCAATAAAGCTGTGTAGAGAAAAAAAGAAGGACTCCACGTTACAGCAGACCTTGCAGGGTCTCAGCAAAAACAAATATCAGTCTCATCCACAAACCGCGCGCCACCAGGATTTCAGCGTGTGGTACTTGCTACGCTTCAGGAGACAGAGGTAACCTACACGATGAGTACAGATAATTTTAAAATAATGATTGTCAATCCTGCCTGACCCAGCACCAATGACTGGAATAGACGTCTAGCCTCAAGGACGGCTCAGAGTTGCACCCAGCCCAGCTCTCTATTGCCTGCAGTATCTGTCCACGTACTTGGGTCTTCTTCCCATGGCGGAGAAGCCAGCACAGCAGCAGTTGTGTAAGCAGGCAGGCAGGACTCTGGATGACCTTAACGCTACAAATGCTACTTTAGTGGTTGGCTATTCCACTAAAAAACCTGCCTAGGCTTTTTAGGAAAACGTCATGAATTTCATGGAACACAACACAGATAGTGCTAGGTGTAGCAAGTCAAGCGTTGGCTCCAGGGAAAGTTCTGGATTAGGTCTCTGTAAAACCCCAAATTTGGCATATCTGTGAAAGATCCAAGAGCAGAATGGTCTCTACTGGCTAAGGTGATGCAATTCCCATCTTTAAAGGATACTACCTGTTATGGATTGAACTGTGTCCCCCCAAATTATGTATTGTAAATCCTAACCCTTCTATCTGTGGTTATAATCCTATTTGGGAATGGGTTGTCTTTGTTATGTTACTGAGACAGGATTTGTGTAGGGTTGTCTTAAGTCAATCTCTTTTGAGATATAAAAGAGATTAAACAAGCAAGCGAGTAAGTAGAGATGGGGAAGAGAGATGCCACACGTGAAGATCACCAAGGAGCCAACGAACAGAAGCTGAAGAAATAAGGACCTTTCCCCAGAGCCGAGAGAGAGAGAATGCCTTCCCCTAGAGGTGGCGCCCTGAATCGGACTTCCATCTCCCTAAACTGTGAGAAAATAAATTTCTGTTTGTAAAGTCAACCACTTGTAGTATTTCTCTTACAGCTGCGCTAGATAACTAAGACACTACCTAATAAAGCTAGAGCTGCCAAGATTAAACAAGACGCTCGGAGTGACTATTCCAAATGCTTAGTTACTTACAGTCTACCAGAGCCAAGTGCACTGATCCCATCCACCACCCTGAAGAAGAAAACCAATTCTTCAGTATACCTCACCTGAAAAGGTGGAGCCTCATTCCCCTCCCTTTGAGTGTGGGATGGACTTAGTAGCTTGCTTCTAATGAAAAGACTACAGTGTAAGTGAGCATGTGACTTCCAAGACTAGGTCACACAAGGTAGTGCAGCTTTCTCCTTGCTCTCTCTCAAATCACTCTCTCTGAGGGAAGCCAGCTGCCATGTCATGAGGACACTCAAGCAGCTCTATGGAGAGACCCTGAGGCCTTCTGCTAACTAACCACGTGGAACGAGACCTCCTGCTAACTAAGCAGGAGGAACCGAGGCTTCCTCCTAACTAACCATGAGGAATCGAGGCCTCTTGCTCACTAACCATGAGGAACTGAGGCTTCTTGCCAACAGCTATGCGCACACACCCAGTCGAGCCTTCAGGTGACTGCAGCCCCAGCCAACATCCAATTGCAATGTCGACAAATCCTGAGCCAGGAGAGCAACCCAGCTGAACTCCTCTGAATTCCTGGCCCACAGAAGCTGTGAGATAATAAGAGTCTGATGGTCAAAGCTGCTGTGTTTTGGAGCAATACATCCTCTGAGGCACAACTTACCTGCTCAAGGCCACCAGTGCGCCCCACTTGGTTCAGGTGGTTCCTCAGCAGCTGTCCAGGGTCACTGGATGTGTCCCGAGCAAACAGGAGCACAGAGAAAAACGGGACGTCCTTCCCCTTCTCTTGGTCATCATAGAGTTCAATGGCTCTGTTTAGCATTAGAAACTTCACAGCCTCATAGAGGCTGTACTCCTCCTCTTCGTTGGTGAACAGTTCATCACAAGCTATCTGCCTTGCTTCCGCAGTTCTCATTTCCGCCAAGCCTGCCCACTACAATAAGACAGTTACATAATCATTACAATTTTTGTTCTACAAATCCCTGCTATATTTCCATACTATCAGCACAAAATCATTTTCAAAAGTAGAACACCATGGGCCATGCACCAATGCTCACGCAATCAAATTTTTAGCTCAAACAGTGGTACTTCTTGGACCACACAGATTTCTTATCCACCTTTTCTCCTCATTAATTTGAAACAAGAAAACAAAAGTGCAATGCAATAAGAGAAGCACTGGGACCAGAGAATGGGATTTTCTACTCCCTGAGCTTCCCAGGCAATGAGAAATACTTATGGAAGAGCTAAGGTGCAATGAGTAAGGCCTGTGTGTAAAGCTGCAAAAAGCAGTTAAAACGACTCCTCCCCTTAAGGGGCTTCCAGGAAAAGTTACTACCCAAACAACAAAGTCAACCACCAAAAAGAGAAGATGAACAAGGAAGATGGCGGAGTCTCCTGGATGTTAGTTTACTAAACTTACCCCTCTAACCTCTTAAAAATATATATGAGCTTCAAATGAATACATCCATTCAGGAAATTCTTACTGACTCCTGATTAAGAATAAAGCAGAGCATTAGGTATTCAGCTAACATAGGCAAACTCTTTAAGTGAACAAGAAAATCCTATAAATATACATATGCTTTTAAGTTAAAGTGAACGAGAATAAGAGATTCCACCATAAATGTCAGTCCTTAGGAATAACCAGTAACAATTTCTCTTAAAAACCATTAAAAATCAAAAACTCAAGAGTCAATGTTATGGCAATGGCTGTAACACAGGACTGTCTCCAACATGGGCTAAAAGCTAGAACGTGTTGTCTACATCTCAAATGTTTCCAGAAGTAGACCAAATGGCAGTCAAGAACACAGCTCTAAAGTTACAAAGCCTGGATGGGATCAAGGTGTCACCACCGAGGAGCTGGTGGCTTTTGCAGGGTGCTTAACTGGACCCTGAATCTCAGTTTCCTCATCTGTAAAATGGGGACAAGCATGGTGGTTGTGAGAAATAAATAACACAGGAGACGTTTAGTGCAGAGCCTGGCACACAAGAAGTGCTCCATAAATGCTGGCTCAGACTACTAATGAATAGGCTAATTACAGCAGGCACACCTAATAAAGCAAAGTAAGCAATCTCACAAGACCTTAAAAGTCAGAAAAGGAAACAGTCACCTGGGCTGAGCTGAAGAGCCCCCTACCTCTAGATCCCCCACACAGTGAAGTCGGGCCAGAGCCTGCCCTCAACCTTCCCACTATCGCGGCACTGAGCAGGCGCAGCCTCTGCCCAATAGAGTGCTGCCTTCTGCCCCAACAGGAAACAAGAGCACAGCCCCCTTCCCTTCTCTCTCTTCACTTCCTCATGATGGAAGAAATATAAAACTACTAGACTTCCTTTGACAGTGTGTTTTCCAATAAACATGTCTTATCTTTGTAAACTGACACCAGGGTCCAGCAAGGCAGGGGCCTCTGTTCCTTCACTCACAAAAGATGTGCTGAATTCCTATCATGTGCCAGCTCTGTGTCGGGCACTGCATGGGAAAGAACAAACAGGACAGTCTCCATGGAGCTGAAAGTCGAACAGGACCACAGTACAAGTCACCCCGGCGGTAAGTGCAGTGAAGGAACCTTGTAAGGCCATGCTGACATCTCCTGAGCTGCCCCCCGCATCCTGCCCCTTACAAAGCCTGGAACGATCCCCAGGCCCTCATCCTGGGTTCCTGGTGAGGAGGGCTACGAGCTACTCCAAGGTAAGCAACCAGGGGCCAATGTGGGCCAGTGTGCAGCAGGACATACAACCCAGGAGACAGAGTGAACAAGTGTGCAGCAGGATATACAGCCCATGGCCAGTGTGGGCCAGTGTGCAGAGGGACATACAGCCCAGGGACCAGTGTGGGCCAGTGTGCAG